TGTTTGGCTTCCTTGGCTTGTGGCCGCTTCACCCCAATCTCTGCTCCATCTTCATGGCCTTCTCCTCCACGTCTGTCGTATGAGGACACTTGTCATTGGATTGGGAGCCCACCCAGACAATCCAGGATGATCTCCTCACCTCAAGATTCTTCAGTTACCTCTGCCAAGATCCTTTTTCCCAAATAAACATTCACACGTTCTGTGGTAAGGATGTGTGCGCATCTTTTGAGGGGCTACCATTCGAGCCACCTGCCAGATGGCCGGCCGGGCCCGTGGGCAAGCTGTCACCAAGTTCTCAGTTCGACTGGACAAGAACGTGAATGGAGGCGAAGGAAGAACCCGCAGGCAGGCACAGCCGGGGGCTCGGATAAGCTCGTGGACTCTAAGGTCCGACTGTTTTTGGCTACTTACTGGCCCGGAGAGCTGGGGAAGTCATCTAAACTGGTCAGCTTACACATCTGTTAAGCAGAAATCATGCCAGTTATCTGCCTCATGGGGCTCTAACATTGCCGACTCTTAAAAGATACTTTTCCTAAAAGACTCACAATGACATCTGGCATCTAATAAACACTGTAGAGCTTTTCAATCCATCTTTAAAATAAACTAAGCAATGGACAACAGAATCACACAAAATTGTCCTCAAAGACACACTAAAATGTTCTGTGTGTTCTATCTTTACCTGTCATGAAACCTTCTAGAGAAGGAAAGAAACCAACATAAACGGAGTCAGGTAGGAAACACTGCTCATATTTGGAGACAGAGGAGGCTGCAGCTACCTCTGAACTGTCTTTGTCCTTCTTCTAACAAAAAATAAATAAGTAAGAATCCTGAAGTGCAGTGAACTATTTGTCCTGGTTTGTGTTTCCTGAGTCCACGTAATGATATTTGACAAAGTGACTCTTACATTAACACCGCTGCTTCATGTTTAACAGCCGGATTTCAGAAAAAGCAATGAGTTAGGTTATTCAGGAGGGCGACTCCTTTGTTTGCCCAGTATTTTCTGGATGAGAGCAGGCAAAGGAAAACTCCTGGAAGATTGGTTCCAGATTTTCCAACAGGGTAACACTCCACAGAAAACATCTGACTTTGATCTTGATTTCACCTTGAACTGGGTTTACAACAATGTGGGGTGTGTCGATTTCTTTAAAGAAATCTATTTGGGGGCTTTTGCTTTTCTATCCTATGGAGAGGCACAAACTCCTCTTTCCCGGGTGCACCCCCAAGCTCTTCTCCAATGTTTAGGTGAGAATGAACTCTGTATTGTGGTTTCTGACCACAGAAAAAGTTGCAGCTTATTTTCGCTGAGGTTTGGCTCCCACCGACCAGACAGAAACCATTCAAGGAGCAACCTTGTCTCAAGCTCTCTGACCCCACCTGGTCTCCATGCAAACCGCCTGCCAGCTACCTTCCATTTCCATTGCTGCCCTGTTATCTGTTCCAAACACTTTCAAATCTGCTTATTTTTCTAATCTCTTCTCTCCTCCTTGGGTAACACTACTCTTTATCTTGTGGTTTTCACCTTTATTACTCACATTTCCTCACAATGAGCATTCATTAAAATATTTTAAATTAGGACCTTTACTGCCTTTCTCACTGAGCGCCTTGGGTCTTCCCATATGACACATTTTCAATTCTTATCACAGAATTTCAGGCAGTTTGTACATTATATTCTATTAAAAACTCTATTCCACCCAAGGTTGTCACAACTCAGAGGCACAGCTTTCGGGGGGTGTTTTGTTGGGGATATATTCATATATTCACTTTGTTAGCCGGCAAACACGGTCCATGAGCTTGTATTTCACACCTCATTTGACATCACAATTCAAGAGAAAAGTACAAAGAAAAGCAATTATTTATTTAGATTATGGAATTAATTTTAGAGGGATATTAGATAAGTATAAATTGTCATACCAAAGCATCAATCCCTGTCCTTCGTCCAGCCCCGGGGAGGTCAAACACTGAAGTGAAGGACGAGGAGGAAGATGCTAGACAGGAGAGCGTCTCATAATTATGTAACTCTGCTTATGTAACGGCTTGTCTTCTGCAATTTTTTTCTCTCTCCTAAAGAGAATGCAAAATTGATTCTCACAGAGCCAAAAGTGATCACCACAGCCTATGTTTTTTCTTCAATGTAAAACAGCACACTTGATCAAATATTTCAAGAAGTCAATTTCCTACCCATAGACCATGGATTCTGCCCTCCCACAGACCCTTCTAACTCAGGACAGTTTGACAGGCGTGGAACTGTTCGACTGGACGATGGTGTGAAAGCGATTAACACATTTAGTAGAAACCGTACTTGGAATTTTGAATCTGGATCTTGTCGCCCGGGCTCACGATCTGGGGTCCCATTCTGTCTGTGATGCTGGGCAGCGGCCGCCGCTCCCGGTCAGCCACGCGATCACGTGGGTCACAGACGCCACCTGCATCGTCTGTCACTGTCAGTGCCGTAGTCAGGTGACTTTGTCCAGCGGGAGGCTCACGTCGGTGCTCTGAGCACGTTGAAGGTGGGCCGGGCTACGCTGTGGTGGCCGCTAGGTGAGGTGTGTTAAACGCATCTTTGACTCATGATATTTTCAACTTATGATGGGTATATCTGGAGGTAACCCTGTTATGAGTCAAGGAGGATCTACACCCAAGATGTATACCCAAGTGGTGATTTCAGAGGGTGTACGTCGAGGCATCCCACTCAGGCCCCTCCAGCACAGCAGGACTGTGGTAACCGCAAGGCCCCCTCTTGTTTCTGCCCCCACCCCCAGCACCCATCCCCCAGAACATCTCCCATCCTCTAAGCCATGTCGTTCAGGTGGGCTGGCCACAGTGACTGGTTCTGGTGGGCCCATGATCCAAGCTGGGCCAAACAGAGCCAGTGGACCTGACGGGGAAGAGTGGCGTCCTCCCTGAAGTGACCACACCAGCAGGATGGACACTGGGAGCTGCTGGTGGCCAACCTGCCACCAGGAGGGAAGATCCTGCTAGAGATGCTGCCAAGCCAGAGGAAAGACAGGGGACAGGTCACTAAGGATGCTGCTTTGGGCGCCTGGATCCAGATGTCCCTGGTAGCAGCCCCCCTGCCTGTCTCCATCCGCATGAGGAACCCAACACCCCTTCATGCGTGGGCTTCATTAGTGCGGCACCCAACAACAAAGCCCAGCTGACCAACACCCCCAGCAACCCAGAGGGAGCCTGGGCCCAAGCACAAAACAGAGAGAAAGCCACAACCTTCGGCGGGCACCAGATTTGAAGAGTGTGGCCAGTTGCGCTAGCTGACCGGCATCGTCCCACCCTTCTTCCTTTATAACAAAGACCACCCCCCAGGACACCTCCCCAAAATAGTGCCAGGTGTTCGCTTTCCCAGACTGCTTCCTGGGCAAAGGCAGGGGCCCACCACTTCCCCCTGAGATCTGAAGAGACGACTTCCAGGTCTTCTTCCCTGATAAAAAAGAGATACACAGGAGAAGCGGCTCCCCGCCCATGTTCATGAACAACTGGGTGAGCTGGTGATGCCTGGAACTGCTGCAGCCACCTTGTGACCATGAGCAAACTAGAGGGAGGATGACAGCCAGTGAGCCAGGCACAACAGAGCAGAAGACACGACACACCTGGGTGACACCATCTGTGCTGCCGGATTACCAGCCGCCAACCACCCGCCCCTAAGTTTCTCGCCAGGTGAGATGGTAAAACCGTGTTGTAGCGGCCACGTTCGTGGGTATCCTAGTACTTGCGAACGAAAGCACCTGAGCCAATATAAGAATCCTAGGCTCTCCCCGTATACTGATAGCTCAGGGTGTGGGAACGCCCAGCGGGCGGATAGATTTCCAGGGAAACCAGGGGCCACGCGAGGTTGCAGATGAAAAGCCCTTTCGAGGGAGGGAAAGCAGGATAATCAGAATGTTGAGCTTGGAGTAGTCAATATTCCTAACAGGAGGCTCGTGACCACTCACTCCCTTCCCTTTGAAAGAGCTCTTGGAAGCAGGCAGGACATGGTCCTAGCCGAGGTTGGCCGGGGTCACCGACGCAGGGAGCACTGAGCGCAGGACTGCCCTGGAGGAGGCAAGCTCCACGAAACCTCCCTGAGCCTCAGGAGCCCAGCCACCCGCCCACACCCCGTTGCGATCACAGAGGAACCCCTGGGGGCCTAACACCGTGGAGTTTAAATACTAGAGAGAAAAGAGAACAGGGTATGACGATCGCAGAGATCTGCAAGGGGCTCGCCTGCCAAGCTGAGGCCTTGGAGTCTCATCCTGGCTGAAGTGGGAGCCATTGTGGTTTTAAGGTGGGGGCTGGGGTGACATGTCTAGTGGCTCATTTTGGTCCAACTCCTTGAGAGAAAAGGCTGTTACCACAGTGGAGACAGCTCCTTCTGCCTTTTTTGGGGTCCTGATGCACGGTGACTAGCAATGACCTCCCTCCACAGCCCCATGAAACCCAAGGCCAGCGTCTGAGCTGGAGAGGACAAGTATGTGCCGGCAACACCAAGCTCACCCGATTTCCCACTCTGACTCCATATGCCAATACCCACGTATGAGATCTGCAAAACGGCTGCATTTAAGCACTAAGACACAATCACTCAGTCGCTCTAGCCGCCCTCCGCTTGCTCATAAAAAGGTACGCTTCCCCCTCACCTCTTAGATCATTTCTGTGGTCCTCATTTCATCCTTCAGTCGTCATGCGAACAATAACAACAATCAATTCCTAAAGTACGGTTCTCAAACCCTGAGCATTTGTGACTTCAGGTAATTTTTGGAGACTGCTCATCTGACTGGGCCATAGGTGTATAGAGAGCGTAAAGAATAAAAGCCCCCTCGGGCGGCACAGCCCCATCATGGAGCCATTTGGAAGCCAAATAGCTAAGCGGTGCTGATGAGCGAGGGGAACACGTTGCGCATCAAAGGCAGAGGCATCACCTCATTTATGCGCACGTTACTTTGCTATCAGCTCTGGCGGCCACCCCGGCCCCCCCGACGGCCGCGGCCACGCCTGGGGACGTCGTCGCTCACCTGCTCTGCGTGTCCGGGTGGTGGCCCACACAGGTGAGGGTGGCTGCTGTCTGCTCGCTGCCGCTGTCGATGTCCTCCTGGACCGCCCACTGCTGCTGACTGCTGACGCGCACGGCCGATATTCTCACACCAGCTGCAGCCTTAATTCTGTGGGGCAGGAAAAAGATGTATAGTTCAAGACAAGTGGTAAAAAATACGGAACCAGAGCACATCTTCCCTCTTCTCTGGGAGACGTAGGGGAGAGAGGCGGTAAACGGTTTTCCTTTGCAAACTAAGTGTCCTGTTATTTTTACAAGCGCCCCGAAGTAGGAGCCCCAGCGTTTTGCCAAGCGCGTTAGTCTTCTGCTGTATCAACGCGCTGGGAACCAGATCTCTGTCTGCTTCGGGGGCCGCGAGTGATGGAAATGAGGCAGGTGTGTCTGGGCGGGTGTGGACGGAATCCGCTCGCCCAGCTCTTCGCCTGGAGATGGGGAGGGGTCCCCACAAGGTGGAGGGAGCACACACGGCCGGGGAGCTGGGGAAGCCCAGGGGACCGAGGAGGAAGGGGCGGCCCTGACCGCATGGGGAGAAGGGAACGATGGGGCATGCCGTCGTCGGGAGAAAAATACACACAGCATCCAGGCAGGACAGTGTAGCCAGGGAATGCCTGGTACGGTGTTGGGAGAACACAGTTCCCCAAGGAAGAACCCAAGGACCCAGGCGCTCCGGCACTGAGAAAAGGCCAACTCACAGCCTGGTTGTTTTCCATGTGTTCCCTGCTCCTCAAATGACCCTCTGCTGTGACTAACCAGAGCACGTGTCCTGCTCTGTAGCAGGATTCCAGAGCATCATTCAAGTTCTTGGATAGCAGCTTTGGGACTTGCCTGAGCTGGGGACATGTCCGGGGAACAATCAGGAGGAAGACAGAGCCATGGAGCACCCTCTGCTTGCCATGCCTTAACCAGGTAGACGTAAGAGCAAGAGGTTGTGCTTGGCCTTCCGAGCCCAGGAACAAACACAGCACAGGGTCGGCAGGCGCTTGGCCGGGAGGAAGCATGATGTCCCTCTGCTTCCCAGAGGCCTGTGGGCCCACAAACACTGCCCAGTGAGGCCCTGGGCACCCTTTACCACAGGGACATCAAAAGGAACATGATAGGAACGCCTGGGGGCTCCGTCGGTGAAGCGTCTGCCTTCAGCTCAGGTCATGATCTTGGGGTCCTGGGATGGAGTCCTGACCCCATGTGGGGTTCCCTTGCTTGGCGGGGAGTCTGCTTCTCCCTCTCGCTCTGCCCCACCCCCCACTTGTGCTCTCTCTCCATTTTTCTCTTGCTTGTTCACTCTCTCTCAAATAAATATAAAATCTTAAAAAAAAGAAAAGGAACACGATTCAGCCATAAAAAGGAATGAAGCATTGACACCCACTACAATGTAGATGAACCTCGACAACATCAGTCATCATGGGAGAAGCCAGACACAAAAGGCCATGTACTGTGTGATTCCATTTATGTAAAAGGTCCAGAAGAGGCGAATCTGTAGGGACACAGAGCAGACTGGTGGTTGCCAGGGGCTGGGGGCACTGGGGCAGAAGGGGCAGTAACCGCTAGACTAACTGCTAGACTAACAGGCTTGATCGGGACTAGACAGCACCGCGAATGTGCTAAATGCCACTGAACTGGTCCCTGGGAAATGGCCAACTGTATGTTACCTGAATTTGCCTCAATAAAAAAAAAAGAAAAGAAAAGGGGGTAGAAAGAATAGCCTCTCCCAGGAGAGGTTGAAACTTAAAAAAAATAATAAAAATAAAAAAGCATTTATCAACACACACACAAAAAATCTCCAAGACCCGAAGAAGGGAGCATATAAAGGCAGAATTTCCAGGAACAAGAGGGAGCGGTCTGGACTCAAGGGCTGTCCTAACCGCTGGCTTTGCTGCCTACTGTGAGGAGCCCGGGGGTGGAATCGGGGGCTTCAAATACCTGCAGAAATAGTTAAACAGAGAAGAAAGGCTTCTGCTTCCCTTATTCTCCTCGTGCAGGTCCTCGCATCCGGCGCACCCTGAGAAGTCCCCCGGAGCCGCAGACACCCCTCCCGGCTCTGACCGACTCCCCTCCCGCCCCACCTGCGGACGAAGGCTGCTACCTCCTGCAAGCGTTCTTTCTCACCACCGTGATGTTCCCGGGATTAGTTTATGTGAACCGTGAACAGAGGCGTCCTGTTCTGTCTGCACTTTAGCCATTCCGTCTTGCTGCCAAAGGGACAGCTGGAGAGAATGTTCCAGAACTCGCGTCTCCTCTCTGGTGGCACTTGCTGTTGTAACAGTTTTCACGTTCTGTTGCATGCGCACGACTGCTCACGGAGGTATTTCGTCAGACAGCCCCGTGGGCCGCGTTATTACTATTGTCCTCGAAGTCCAGATGAACACATGTCCACCCTCCAGCCCCCAGACCGAGTGGCCAGCTGGAGGTCACGGAGCCGGGCAATGGCAGAGCCAGGATTAGAAACCTGCTCCCGTGCACGTGTATCCCCCGTGAGCCATGCGCGCACCACGCAGTGCTGGCAAATGACCCATGGGACCCATGCCCTGCACTCCAGCTCCTAACTGAGCCCTAACGGCCCCTCTCTCTCCTTCAGTCCTGGAGCACAACATGTCCACTGAAGATTCTCCTTGGGGTTTTTTGTTTATTTTCTTTGATTCTGATCCAAAAACAAGGCACAGTTCCCTCGTCGTCAGGGACTCAGCATCTCCGAACAGATTCATGCGACTGGATGCCAGGGCCTCCCCACTGCCCTCCTTTATGGTCTTTTTTGTTTTTCGAGACAGAGGCCATTGCAGTGGGCGAACTCTCCCTGGGAGTGTTGAGAAGCAGGCCCCCAACCAGGGGCAACCACAAGTACCAACAGCAGGGACAGAGTCTGAGCAGCTCTGGAGGCCAGCCACTGTGCTCACCATTGTCACCGTCCTTGCTGGTCCTAAAGAGATCGCAGGGGAGGCCGGGAGGCAGACTTGGGATGGTGATCTGTAACCAACAGAGGTCACCCAGCAGGGTCACACCAGTGCCTAGGGCTGTGCATGAGGACAGAGGCAGAGAGCAGACCAAGGTGGCCTCCCAAGGTTTCCCTCAGATGGGATTACTGGCCCCAGGGCACCACAGATGCTTTTCTACATGCTGCGATGCTCTCGAGAGGATGTCTGACTTCTTCACCTTTTCATGCTTACCTGGAGCCCAGATGAGAGCGCATCACAGTAGCCGCCCCTTTGCTCCCCTCCCTAGGGCAGCCAGCCTCGGGCAGCCCTCCAGGTTTGGCCATCAGTGGGGGCATCTCTATGTTCTCCCCTGCAGGGTCACCGGCTCTCAATTTCTACTCCACCACCCACGCCCGAGCACTGTGCTTGGCATTAGGGCTCCAGACACAATGACTTCTCTCCTCTATCTCCACCCGCCTCCCGAGCCACGTAGGAGGACTGGGACCTCCTGCCTGACCCAGAGCATGCCACGAACGTTTCTGCCCTAATGCCTTCCTGCGCTGCTGGTCTCCTTTGGTTCTGGTAGCTCCCCCGAGCTGCAGCAAAGTCAGACCTGAGAGGCCCACCAGGCTGCACCGGTGATCTGGAGCACAAGAGAGCCAGAAACTTCAGTGCGGTTAATTTCGAGGCCAAGAGGAAGTCTCAAGAAAACAGATACCTACTCGCCCCCTTCCAGGCTTCCTAGGGCCCATCCCTCCCCCAGAGAGTAGACTTTCAAGCTGCTAAAGACCTTCCAAAACTTCCGTAAAGACAGTCAGCTTTCATGCCCACTAAGGACAGGAACCGTGAGCTCAACAGTCACACACGAACTGTCGCCGTTAGGGCTGGGAGCCACACAGGACAGATGCACGGTATCGTGGGGTTTGTCTTAGCTTTTATTCTCAGTTATTATTATCGGTAGCAATGCACTCTCGCAAGCCTCCTTCTACAGCACAAAAAAAAAAACCAGACACCTGCCCATCAGAAGGGCAGCAACAGAAAGAGAACATAGCAAGCGTTGACCTATGTTGACTCGTGCGCATTGCTGGAATGTGTGAACGTGGTTCCATTTCCTTGGAATACTATCTGGCCATGTCTCCTAAGCTGAATTTCTGTAGATCTATAGCCCAGCACTTCCACTACTAGGCATATGCCCAAGAGAAATGCATGCATGTGTTCCCCAGAAGAGCACAAGGGAGTTCATGGCAGCACCATCCTATGAAGCCCCGAATGGAAACAGCCTAAACTGCTCACTGAGAACAGAAGAGATACCAGTGAATACATGCAGCAGAAACAAGAATGAGCAGTCTACCACCACCCAAAGCAACATCATGAACATACAGAGATGCTCGGGCAAGAAAGGGCACACTGCAAAATCCCATTTACAGAAAGTCAGGCAAACAGATCTCTGAGGTTGAAGTCAGCATTGTGGTTACGCTTTGGGGAACTGGACGGGGCCCCCAGGGGGGCTTCTGGGGCCCTAGCCATGTTCTGTCTCCTTCTGGATGTGACTACACGGTAGGTTTCGAGAATTCATCAGGCTGTGCTCACTCGTGTGTACTTTTCTGGACATCTGTTCTAGTTCCTTATAAAGTTCACAACAAAGCAAGCAGACCTCATGTCTGTAACAGGGATGCCAAGTTGAAGCCAGGGCAACACCGACCACTGGATGTGACCTCCCTGCTGCTCAAGCTCAGTGGGAGGCCTCAGGATGAGTCAGACCACCACCACCCTGGACACAGAGGGGCTTCTCCCCCCAGCTGCCACCACCCCTTGAGGTCCCCACTTTTGTTCTGAGGAGCAGAGAGTAATCTGAAACTTTGACCTTGTCTATGATGGGGAAGGGTCTTAGAATCCAGATGAGCACCCCTGCTGGTTGGACCAGGGACCAATGACATTCCAGCTGCTGTGGGTAAGCAATGAGAAAGACATCTAGACTCGAGGCCAGTCTCTACCCAGCAGGGACTAGAGACAGGGCAGAGGCCCACAGCTTCTCCATCTCATTCCCCCCTGTATCTTTTCAGCCCACCATATCTACCACCTAGCAGGGAACAAGAAAACTTGCTTGATGAGTGCAACCAAGTCTTTCTGTCTCATACTTAGGCCATCCACTTTAGAATTAAATACTCAACTCTAGGCAGGATTTTTGGCCGTTTGGTTGCTT